CAAGGAGGGGTCGCTATGAGTCAGGTCCGACTCAATGGCACATAACAACAACAACAGGTGCCTTAGGGGTAGGGAGGTCGGGGACAAGGTGCAAGATAGCAGAAAGGATCCAGGGAGGCTTCCATTCAACACCATGAATAAGGGTAGACAGCAGGCAGGACTTCTTTGACTTCTTGGAATCCTCCAAGAAAGAGGTATAGAAGGGCCCCTGTTCTGGTTTCCAGTATGGGGAATGGAGATTCCATCTAGGCTGGGAGGGAGTCACTAGGTAGGAGTTGGAAGGAAGTGAGGGAATAAGGCACTGTGTTTACTCAGATCACCTGTCCATGCATATTTTTGGAGTGAGCAACAGTCAGATGTCTGAAGCAGGAGATAGGAGGCTCTGGAATAGGGGCAGGGAGAGGGGAGCAGCACCTGCCCCACCTTTTTGCATGGTTGGGAGGATCCTACCATCTCTGCAGCCCTCAACCTCCCTTGGCATCACAGCTCTTCCTTTGCCTAGGACTTCAAATCATCAATTGTATTAGCTAGTTAAAGTTCAGCAGGTGACTTCAGCTGTTAGTAAATGCTTTTCTGTATTTGGTGAATGCGTTTATAATAAAGAGTTTTTATTTAGAAATCCTCCCAGGAAGGGGAAAAAAAATACATCATTTATATAAAATGGCCAACATCTGATTTACTTCACCTATCATTTAAAAAATACTGTTTCAGAAAGATTACCTTTCTTTTTTTTCCCATAAAACAAGCTAGTATGTTAGAAAAAAAAATCTGTTTGAACCCCAGAGAAAATATTTTCTTTGTGGTACAAGTGAACATAAACAAAGAGGTTTTTTACTTTATCAGGTTAATGCATTTCTTTTCAGAAATGAAAATTATCTAATTTTGTGAGGCATGGTGATTTCAAAAGAGAAATTATTAGGAATGATGTACACAGCACAGTCGGACTCCCTACCTCTCTTTCTGACAACTTCCCTTCACCCCCCACCTCAGCCCTCACTCTAAATTTTCTAGAATGGCACACTTGCAGGTGCCCACGTGGTGGGCATTGGCTGCTGAGCATGTGGTGTGTGGGCGGAGCACGTGCCTAAGAAAAAGAGGAGAAGTAAAGGCTAAGGGCTGTAGAGGACTGAAGCTCACAGACCCTCCCTGGTAACCAGAGAAACACAAAACTCCATCCACAGGTCAGTGACGCTACTTGTGGCCCTTGGGACTGGAGAGGACTGAGACTGAGGGACAGGTGGTGCACGTTGGGTCACCGACCACAGAGCGTGGAAAGAGGTGTCTGCGTGTGTTTATGGCGGGATGTACAGAGTGGAGAGGTCCTGCTGCTCTGTCTACCCCTGGGGGGAGGGGAACGGCAAGAAGAGCGATGACGCGCAGCCCTCACGTGACTGGAGCTGCAGAGCGACGCGGCCTTCCGTGCAGTCGTCACTTGCGTCTGGATATTAGCTCCCGGCTACCCAGCGCACAGCGGACTGGCATCAGGGCCCGGCAAAGCGCAGCAGGTAAGGCATGGGGTCTGCGAACGTTACCAGGCCGCAGTCACCCCTAGAGTTGGTGGCAGGCGTTGGGGAATAGCCCGACCCGTCTGGCCAGGTTTTCCCATACCCTGCGTTCTTGGAAAGAGAAATGATAGCCCCCGCCGGAAGCGGGGCGCAGAGGCGACCGGACTTTTCAGGGAGGGCAGTAGAGCTACTAAGAGAGAGCTGGGAAATCAAATCCCCCAGTCTCGGTAGGAAAACAACAAGCGCCGCGGGGGCAGAACAGCTGTGGGAGGGGGGCGAGAGGCGGCGGGCAGGATTACTGGGTCCGAGGGGGCCTGACGGCGGCGGGGAGGAGCCTAGCGTTCGGCCGCATCATCTCCTATTCCCCCACCCTGGCCATCTGCAGGTCTGAGGTTCACAGCGTTGCACCTGGAGGCGAGGATCGGGAGGAGGAGGAGGAGACTTCCAGGATAGGCCCAGGTCGGTGCGAGGGACCGTGAGGAGAGGGGGCGGGGGCAGAGCCCTGTCTGAGACCCCTGTCACCCACCCCTCGACCTGTCCTCCATTTTGGTGTCTACAGAGGCCTGGCGATGGAGCAGCAATAAAAATGGTGGGCTTGGGGAAGGGAGGGGAGAGGAACGAGAGGGAGGGATGGGCTCGGATTGGAGCCTCTAGAGGGCGCACGAATCCTCTCAGATAAGAAATATGAAATTTAAAAATCTATTGAATATCCTAGGATCTCTGGTGGCTTAGTGCCTAAGGCATGTGACTGCTAACCGGAAATCTGGTAGTTCAAACCCACCAGCCACTCCTTGGAAGGAAGGTTGGGCAATGTGCTTCCGTAGTGATACCACCTCGGAAACCCAAGGGGTCACTATGAGTTGGATCCAACTCCAAGGCAGTGAGTTGGTTTTGGAACCTTGAAAAGTTCATAGTAAAGTCTCTGTCCTTGGTGCTGATCTGTCTACTAAGAAGCATTCAGCCCTTTCTCTCACCTCTGTTTCCTAGGAATAATGGAGGCTAAAGAGGAACAAGTAGGAAAAAATCCCAACATGGAAGATCCTCACCAGGAAAACGAAAAGGAACAAGACACTAACAAAGGAGAGCCCTTGGCACTCCCTTGGGAAGGTGGTGAATACTGTGTGCCTAGAGGAAGTCGTAGGCGACTCAGAGTTAGGCAGCCCATCCTACAGTATAGATGGGACATGGTTCAGAGGCTTGGAGAACCACAGGCAAAGATGAGAGAAGATAATGTAGAAAGGATTGGGGAGGATGTGAGAGAGCTGATGGAAAAACTGAGGGGAAAGCAATTGAGTCACAGTCTAAGGGCAGTTAGCACTGACCCCCCTTACCATGACCATCACGATGAATTTTGCCTTATGCCGTGAATCTTGTTTTCCTTGAAGTTGATAGGGAGACCCCTGCTTCTTAAACTTACATGTGCAAGGTATCTTTATTGTATACCTTTTGATATTACTTGTTTCTGATGAGTTTCCTATTACCAGCTTCTAATTGAATGTTGTGTTTTTGACCCAGCCTGTAAGTTTCTGTCAGCAGGGGAGTTTTATCTATTGCCTGGAAACATGCTCATTATATATTGTGAAGTTAATAAAGCGGTTTTAAAAAGCAATGTCTGTACTTAACCTTTTTTTTATTTCAAATCTTATATATTTAATATATGAACAAAAAATGCTGAAATTAGATATACCAAAGGATTAATACACGGGTTAATTTCTGAGAAATGGGTTAATGTGTTACCTTTTAAATTATCTGTAGTTTGACAATAAATGGAAATAAATTTTAATGACTTTTTTAAAAGCAGTAAGATCACTTAAATACTTAGTTATCAAATGTTAATATCTCAGCCATATGAATAAAACTAGGAATTCTTTAAAAATCGGGAACTGTATGTGCTTCACACAAGTTTGGAATTAGATTATGAATATATGACCTGACTTTACCTGTCCTTTGTCCCCACTTTGCCTATTGTATAAGACATTGTACCCTCGGAGTTTTTCCTTCAAACACTGCACAGTATCCAAAGATCTCACCAGTCCAGCACCTCTCTTCCTTCCTTCAAGACTGCAGTGTCTGCTGGGCATACTGCTACTTCTCTGTCTGACAAGAGATAAGCACTTAAAAGTCTAATTAATAATGACTGAATCAGGAGTTGTGAGTACAGTTCTTACATAAATAAATAACTTTAGATAATAATCTTTGAAAGAGATTATTTGCAATTCTTAAAGGAACACTGGATTTATTTAGTAATAGCCTAATGTTTCTAACAGTATAACAGTATGCCAATCTACCATCTGTGGGAGAATCACTTGGGGACTCTTGAAAATTTAGACTCCTGGTCCCACCCTAAATATACTGATGGGGGTTCTAGAACTTTGAATGTTAGCAAGACTCCTGGTGATTCTGATGCCTATTAAAGCCTAAAGGGCTACTGGTGGCATATATTTTTTATGATCTCAAATCTTACATAGGAGCTATAATAACCAGAACATAAAGTTGTATATCTGAATTTAGTAGAAATGATTAAAATGCAGAGGATGAGGACATTAAAAAGTAGCTTTACTACATAAAACTTAAAGTTGAAAATATTTACACTAAAAAATTAACTACCTATCTCTTGTGAGATCTTTGGTGATATTTTTTCCTTTGTGCTCAACTGTATTTTTCTTAAAGAACATGAATGGCTTGTGCTAAATAGAAATAAAAACAAATCCAAAGAATTATTCAGTGAGCTTATAAATGACATGGTTGTTGTTGTTGTTGTTATGTGCCATTGAGTCGGACCCAACTCATAGCAACCCCTCCTTGGATTTCCGAGGCGGTATCACTATGGAGGAAGATTGCCCCATCTTCCTTCCAAGGAATGACATGGAGTCTCTTAAAAATTGTCATTCACAGAACATAAAGAAGATACGTAGATTTCAAATTACTCTTAGATATTATATTCATGCCTTTGTGTGACCCTACCTCTTAAGTGTTGGAAAAATCAATAGGTCATAATTCTAACCAACAGAATACAGTGAAAGTGATAGGATGTCACTTCTGTGATTACATTACAGAAGATTGTGACTCTTTTCTTGCTAGCAGACTCTCTTTAATGAAACAAGTGCCATGTTGCAGAGGCCCATAAGGCAAGGAACTGAGAGTGGCCTCCAACTAATAGCCAGTGATAAAATGAGGCCTTCAGTGCAATAGCCCTCAAGGAACTGAATCCTGCAAACAATAACAAAAGTGAACTTGGAAGCAATCCTTTCCCAGTTGTCTTCAGATTAGACACTGGCCCTGACCAACATCTTTTTCTTCTTCTTTAACTTTTATTATGGCAAAAACATACATTAGCAAGAATTTCACCAACATAGAAACTTCTACACATACAGCTCAGTGACATTGATGACATTGCCCATGTTGTGCCACCATAATTGCTATCCTTTTCCAAAATAGTCCGCGACCATTAGCATAAACTCAATGCCCTGCAAACAAAAACTTCCCTTTTTGCCCCTCCCTCCTATCCCTGGTGTTGTTGTTGTTATGTGCCGTCGAGTCGTCCCCGACTCATAGCGACCCCTCTTTGGGTTTCCGAGGCAGTATCACTACGGAAGTAGGATTGCCCAACCTTCCTTCTGACCTATCCCTGGTAACCAGTGATAATCTTTGGTATATATATTTTTTAAACTACCTAGGAATTTTCCCTCTCCTCCCCCCTCCCATCCCTCATAACCAAGAAAAACCTTCCTTCCATGTCTTTCCTTGACTTTTTACAATGAACTAATACTATATTTGCCCTTCTGTGATAGACTTATTTCACTCAGCATAATGTTCTTCAAGTTCATCCATGTCATACAGTGTTTTGCAGAGTCTACATTATTCTTCAGTGCTGCATAGTATTCCATTGTGTATATGTAACATAGTTTGCTTATCCATTCTTCTGTTGATGGGAAGGTAGGATGTTTCCATCTTTTTGGTATTGTAAATAGTGCTGCAATGAACATGGGTGTGCATATATCTGTTCTTGTCCTGGATCTCACTTCTTTAGCATGCATACCAAGTAATGGAATTGCTAGGTCAAATGGTATTTCTAATTCCAACTTTTTAGGGAATCGCCATAATGCTTACCACAGTGGTTGTATCATTTAACAGTCCCACGAGCAGTGTATGAGAGTCCCAATCTCTCCACATCCTCACCAACATTTCTTATTTTCTATCTTGTTGATCTTTGCCATTAGTGCTGGGGTGAGATGATATATCTTTTTTTTTTTTTTTTTAAGAAAAGAGAAGAGAAAATTTAATCACGTATGCCTAAGTGGGGAACAGGCAGAGTTTCAGAATACTCCCACAGCTGCCCCCCTCCAGTGGGCAAGTGCAGGATTAATATAGGTTGAGCTAAAGCTTATGATTCCGTAGAAACATTTCATTCCAAAGAACTGGTGCTCTTTAACCCATGAGGACAAAGAGAAGCCACTAAGTTATGACTATGAGACTTATCTCTTAACTCTGGAAGGCAGTGACACCAGATGGATTCTGTTTTTCTCAAGGTTGACCTTGAAATACCTCAATCTGTATTCTTTTTTTTTATTTTATTTTTATCATGATCTGGGTGAAAGTTTACAGAGCAAATTCATTTTCCATACAGCAGTTCACATACACTTTGTCTCATGACATTGACTGCAATTTACCACAATGCAACAGCTCTCTTCCCACTTCCTCCCCATAGTTACCTCTTCCCTGTGTCCTTTCCTCCATGCACTCCTGCCCCCCAAGCTGTCTCCCTGTGCATACACAGCCCTTCTATTCTCCCATGATTGATCTCTCCAAGAAGTTATGTACCTAATGTAAATGTTCACCTCATATTACTGACTTTTGTTTGGCCAGAGTGCATAAGAGTGGGTTCAGTTCCAGACCTGAAGAGCAGCTAGGGACCACAGTCTCAGGGGTTCCACTAGGTTCTATCAGACTAGCAAACCTGGTCTTTCTTTTTTTTTTCCCCCCAATGATTTTGAGTTTTGTTCCACATTGTCCTCCCACTCTATCCAGGATCTCCTACATATATCCCCCTCCAAGTGGTTGACAGTGGTAGCTGGGCACCATCTAGTTCTTCTGGTCTCATGGTCATATAGGATGAGGATCACATGGTGTACAAGTCCCTTGGCCTAATTGTTTCCATAGGTTTTTTGTTTTCTTCATTCTGCTTTGCTCTGGATGAGGAGAGACCCATCATTGCATCTAGATAGCTGCTTTCAAACTTTTTTTACCTCCATGGATCAATGCATTTATTACTTTTTTTGTTTGTTTGCAGTGTTCCTTCCCCTCCCCTCCCACCCTTGGTAACCAACAAGGGAAGTTCCCTTCTATATATAAACACTTCCATGACTTTTTACAATAATGAACTAATACTATATTTGTCCTTCTGTGATTGACTTATTTCACTCAGCATAATGTCTTCCAAGTACATCCATGTTATGTGGTGTTTTGCAGATTCTACATTATTCTTTCTCCCATTTGTAATATAAATGTCTACCTTGTGCCTGTTCCATCGTTGTAATTTTGAAGCAGATAACTTGTATTCTGGATTGACAAATGAGAAAGAATTTTGCCCCAGGATGGAATTTGGACTTGGAGTTGATTTAAGACTTTTGGTATGATGTGATGTGATAAAAGTGTTTTATGTGTGGCGAGGACATGAATTTGGGGGTTGCAAATAGTGGAATGTCATGTATTGAATTATGTACCCCAACATATGTGTCAACTTGGCTAGGTCATCATTCTCAGTGGTTGGCAGTTATATAATGATGTAATTTGGCAGTTATGTAATGATGTACTCATCTCTCATGATATAATCTGATGTTTTCACCCAATCAGTTGTAAGAGGATTAGGGTGGGATGCAACACCTTTACTCAGATCACAGCCCCAATCTGATGTAAGGGAAATTAATCTGGGATGTAGTCTGCATCATCTGTTATCTTAAAGGAGATAAAAGGAAAAAGAAATGTGCAGAGTGGGAGGGACCTCAGTACCAGCAAGGAAGAAGAGCCTAGAGTGGAGGGCATCCTATGGTCCCAGATCCCTGTGCTGAGAAACCCCTAGATCTAGGGAAAGATGGATGCCAAGACACAAGGAGATCGCCAAGGAATATCAGTCCCATAGTTGTTGGAAGGAGACAAGGACTTCTACCAGAGCCAACAGAAAGAGAAAGCCTTACCCTAGAGCCAGCACCCTGAATTTGGACTTCTAGCCTCCTAAACTGAGGGAATAAATTTGTTTGTTCAAGTCATCCACTTGTGGTATTTCTGTTATAGCAGCTCTCAATAACTAAGAGAAAGATCCTAGACACTGTCTTCTAAGAGCACGCATTGCAATCAGTACACCAAGTTCAGGCCCATATACCCAAACCGGACTATGTAGAATGCTTCCATGCCAGCATGGACTGTGTTCACCAGCTAAACTCACCATCGGTTCCTTGGAAGAAAGTAAGGGCTGCATGGTAGCTTGAAGCACGGGGCAGAGAAAGAGTTTCTTACCAGTGGTTTTAGACTGCCATTAGTAAATGGCCATGGATTACTTAGCAGGATTGGTAGGGAAGTATCTCGCACTTTTAAATTTCATAATCTTGTTATATATCCACCTTAGAACCATCTTTCACTCTCCAAACTGAAAGAGATCTATTTCAGCCCTGCACATTGTAGATGAGAAAACTAAAGCAAAAGGCTTGATCAATGATCATACTTTCCACTTTTAGATGGTTTGGTAACTGACTTCCACAGATTGCTCTACCTGCCCACACCCCACCTTCTTGTCATCCCTCCTCACCACCACCTTAGGGATTCCTACCAATGATTCTACTAATGTGGTTCTCTCTTGGCAATGTTCTGGAGTTGGCCTATAAGAGATGCTGTGTTGTCCCTCCTCAGAGAAGTGAGGCCCATGTTCTTGAGGCCTTGACGGATTTCACTCACACTCAGCATAACCTCTTCAGGACTAGACAATGAAGAACAGAAAACTGATACCAAAGTGGCCATGGAATGAGGTAAAACCCAGAGTGCCCCATACTCTGGTAATCACTGAGCTACCCACACATTTGGGTAAATTATGTTTTGGAGGAGGGAATGCTATCAACCTCCAAAAGGCAATGCACAATTAAAAAAAAAAAAAAAACCAAAAAAAAAACTGATGAGCTAGTAAATTTCTGGCCAGGTCCTGTCAAGGGATGATTCCAGCCCCCTACCACCAGTAGACAGCAGTACCCAGTGGCAGGTACAATATTTTTGTTATTACCTTGAAGCTATCAACTAATCCATACATATAACACCATATTCCACTCTGAAGAAAACAAAATAAACTGGACAACAAGGGTTTGGTTCCATCCTTGAAGCCACTCAATATTCTTTGGTTCCATAAACTTTAGTTAAATGTTATTTTTAGATTTCCTTTGCTATTTCCATGGTTGTTTTTCCTACTTTACCAATTAAATTGTAAACATATTTAGAAGCATATACTTCTAATTACTTTTTTTTTACTTTGATATTATGCCTTGTACACAGTGGCTGTCAAATCAATATTATGGACAAACTGATTAATTCCTGGCTGTACATAACACCAGTTAACTGTCACCACTCACCTATGCAATAACTCATTTGCAGCAAACACAAATGAATCATTTGTGGCAAATCAGCCTCCACATTCCTCTCTGAAAAGAAGTTTTATTTTTCTCTATCTCAAGCCTAGGTGCCACTTATCCAAAACCATCAACAGACTGCAAATGGTTCCCAGGGGCCTTTGTGTGCTTTGTGGTGCCTATGTATCAAATACCACATATGATTTTTCACTCTAAGAAAGATCTATAAAGCTTACCCGGAGTCCAATTCCTCCATCAGGACCTTGGTTATGCGTTTCAGTTTATCCACAAATTCAAGTGAGCTTAATAAAACACTGCCAGAGAAACTTCTGGCTATTAGCAAGACTGAAGCCAGTATGGTTAACTGGTTCAACTGGGACCCTATCTCTTGTAGCCGAATTCTGTCTATCAGCAAAGTCTGGTGAGGAAGGGAAGAGCAGTCTGTCAGGACAGGAGGGTTCTAATGGAGATCTTGAACACAAAAGAATAAGGCAGTACCTCAACACACATTCTTACCTCAAGGAATTCTTCATTTTCAGGATCCCAGAGAAGGAGGTTCAGATAGCCTTGGTATAATACCATTGTGGGAGTGGGGTGCTCTAAGCTATTAGCTTCCAAATTTTGAGGTGAACAGGCCATGCTGGAGGAGCTGGGAGGATCAGAAGAACTCGGAGTTGTTCTGACGAGGTCTGTTGCTGCTTTGGTTAACCACTTTGTAGTGCAATAAAGGAGATCTATGACAGATAAAGAAATATGTAAGTATCTTGAAATCCCACAACTTGAAGATTAAGGCTTTGAGATACACTCTTGGTCAGTAAAGAAGTGCTTTGTATTCAAGGGAAAGGCAATATACAATATACAATATACAATAAGGGGAAGATCAACACAAAATGATCAAGGCAAAGCAAGACACTGAGAGAAGCATAAGAGTTAAAGGCAAAAATGGTAAATACTATTACATACACAATTCTGCAATAATAACAACAACAATAATCTATAAGTAGATACATAGATAAGCTGAACGTAAGCTGAATAGGCATGGGGAGATGAATGGTCTACCCCTACAAATGCATATAGGTTTGGCAGAGGATATTTCTATATATGTATTTATATGTGCTGCAAATATATCCATGAATATAGTAGAGTATACAGGGGGCAAAATTATGAAAACTTCTTAGCCATAACCAAATATCTTGAAGGACAGAATCATTGGGCCTGTGGGCTCAGGACCATAGTCTCAGGAGACGTCAAAGTCAATTGACATAACATAGTCCACAAAGATAATGTTCTACAGCCTAGTTTGGTGAGTATAGCAACTGGGGTCTTAAAAGCCTGTGAGCAGCTGTCTAAGATGCAACTATTGCCCTCTCCCTGCTCAGAGCAAAGAATATTGAAGAAAATAAAAGACACAAGGAAACAATTCATCTAAAGGATTAGTGGACTATGCAAACTCTAGCCCCACAACCAGGAGACCAGAAAAACTAGATGGCTTCCGAGTACTATTCATTGTCTTAAAAGGGATGATAAAAAGGGGTCCCAGATTGAGTAGGAGAAAAATGTGGAACAAAACTCAAAATCATAAAAGAAAGACCAGGCTTACTGGTCTGATAAAGACTGGTAAACAAAACTCAAAATCATTAAAAAAAAAAAAAAAAAAAACAGGCTTACTGGTCTGATAAAGACTGGTGGAACCCCTGAGACTATGGCCAGGGTGAGGTAAACAATAAGCCCAAGGAGATATGAACTCCTTAGAAGAATCACCGGGAGCTCTGGTAGCATAGTGCCTAAGGCACTTGACTGCTAATCAGAAGGCTGGCAGTTCAAACTCACCAGCCACTCCTCGGAAGGAAGACAGGGCAATCTACTTCCGTAGTGATACTGCCTTGGAAACCCAAGGAGGGGTCGCTATGAGTCGGGTCCCACTCGATGATGGCACATAACAACAACAACAACAGAAGAATCACCCACATGAGATCAAAAGGGAAGCATTTGCCTAGGGATGAAGCCCAAAAAGCAGGATGTGATAGGAAAGAAGGAAGGATAGAAACGGGAAATACAGGGAAGTAGGAAGAGTGCTGTTACATTGTGGGGACTGCAATCAATGCCAAGAATCAAAATGTGAATGAATTATTAAATGGAAAACCAATGCAATCTGTAAACTTTCACCTAAATCACAATAAAAAGTTACACGTGTGTGTGTGTGTGTTCTTTGCAGGTCTTCCAATCTTAGACAAATGCTCCTTCTTCCTACTCCTTACCCAAGGAACAAATTTTCTATTAACCCCCCCCCAAAAAAAAAAAAACCAAAAAACTCTCTAGCATTAGCAGAAGGCACACCCAAGGTAAAATCTACCCTTTCCTGTTGTCAAATTTTAAACATACTGAGCTGCTTGTTGAGGAGTTCCTGGAATTTAACTCTTTCATACTCGATAGAATGTTCCTGCAGGTAGGATCAAAGACTCTGGACAGTAAAGTTCACCATGTCCATTTTCGTCAGGCCCAGAACATGGAAGATACCCCTGTCATGGGGATAAACAGAATATTTACACTATGAAAGGAAATCTTGTGTGGAGGGGTATAATGCGATCAAGGAGTCTTAAAATCACAGTGTTTTAGAATTAGAAAGAGTCCTAAAAATAAAAGTCCTACTTTGATTTAGAAATAAAGATACTGTGACTCAGTTCACAGAGTGAGTTGGTAGCAGAGCTAGGGATAGATAAGTCTCCTGGCCCACTCGAGTTCTTTCCACTATAGTCACTCTGTCATCTCAGAAGAAAATCACTAAAATGCTGATGACTTTCTGTGGGTAGCTGGATTTTAGGTGATTCAATTTCTAATTCATTAGGCAAATCATTTTATCTCTCTGGGTCTTGGTTGTTCTAGCTTTGAAACAGGAATAATCCCCATTTCTGTCCCCTCACAGGATTTGAGTTGGGACAAAAAGGATAACACCTAGAAAGGTTGTTTGAAATATCTAGAAGAAAGGATTGTACTCTATCATAATAGTATCATGTTATACACCAAAGAGGCCCTGGGAAACTGTCATTGGAAAATAAAATCCAATAGTCCAGGGAGGAGAAAAGAAGTGTTACTTAGGTCTTCAGTACAGAAGAACTAGACAAGGCATGAGGCTATAATATAATGTCTGGCCCTGAGTATCTGAGGCAGATTCCAGGGAAGTACATCAAATTTCTCAGTAAATGCACGGGATCTGTTATGTTCTGTAGTTTCTGCACTGCTTCATCATAAACTGGGGCACAAAGCAGTGTCATCAAATTAAGAATGTAGTTAGAGAGCTTCTTCAATCTCATTTCTTAGGTGGTTCTGGAGTGGTAACAGCAGTGATAGCAAGATCTGCCCCAAAAGGAAATCAAAGGTGGCAAACTCTTTTTAGAAACCCAAACTTTCCACTGAACATCTCCCTTAAACCAAAGGCATTCCAGCCTGTCTGTTTGGGGTCAGAAAGCTGGGTCTCTAACTTCCTAAGAGAATACTATTTCTTTCTGTGTAGAGGTCACTTACCAATCAAGGCTTCCCTGGGATCAGTTATAGCAGTAGTGTATTTTTTTCTAGGAAGAATGAGATAAAGATGTGAATAAAAACAAGGGTGTGGTTAAAAGAAATATAGAGTATAAAATAAATAAATATAAAAAGATGAAATGTTCTTTACAGAGAAGAACATTTTTAGATGAGAATAGGCAAAAGGAAACATGAAGGGTCACTAGAAATAGTCTTTTGACTCAAATGCTTAAGTTCCTTGTGGGGAAAGTCTCTCTTACTCATCTCTGAGCTCCAGCAATTCATAAAACATAGGGTTTCAGTGAAAATGTATTTAATTGAAAAGAATATTGTGTTGTTATAGCAAGCTCCCAACAGTTAAGCTTCATCACATATAAATAAATGGAATCTGCTACCTATCATTCTGACCATGTTCAGAAAGAAAGTATGCCGCTTAAGATATTAGTAGCCACTGACACTCCAAGGGTTTGGGAATGCCCAGGAGCTTCATATCCACAAATGGAAGGTTTATTACTTACCTCTTTAACTTCTTTTAAAAGTTCAAGATCACAAGTGAAGTCAGGGGGAGTACTAGATAGTTGTTCTTTCAGACGGTCCCAGAGAGCATTGTACATTGTCTCCATGAACCTGCCTTCAACACTGCAAAAATGTTAAAGAAGCAAATAGCTATTTACCTAGAGAATGGATATAGAATCATAATCATCTATGTCCCAAACAAAATTTAAGATTGTGAAAGTCTGTTAAATAGACAGTCCAGGAAATACGCTTAGATTTGAGTAGGGTTGAATAAATGGGTTAGTCTCAGATGGAAAGGCATTAGCTAAATCCCCTGAGAGAGACACTTCATGGTTCCAGAGAGGTTCCCTTGCTGCAACATAAAGAACCATGAACTAGGAATGGAGCTCCACAGTTCTAGCCCTGGTTCTGTATCTATTATAACATATTTAACTCAATAAAAATACCTGACAGGTCTCCATTAGTCCCAGAGTAACCTCCCTAAATCAACATTCCCGCTGCGTTGGTTTAGTCCTTGTTTAAAGCTTCTTTGACGTTGGTAGCTGGGCACCATCTAGTTCTGGTCTTGAGGGCCGTCGTGTCCTAGGGCAGATTGCTTCTAAATGCCTTTTTTTTTTTTTTTT